GTTGCCCGGGCAGGTCTTGAACCCGCAGGCTCAGGCAATCCACTCACCTCAGCCTCCCAAGGCTCGGGATTACAGGCTGAGCCACCGAGCCTGGCTGCATTTTTTTTTTTAGTCAGAGTCTCACCCTGTCACCCAGGCTGGAGTGTATGACTCGACCTGCTGGGCTCAGGTGGTCCTTCCACCTCAGACTTCCAAGTAACTGGAACAGGCGTGTGCTACCATGCCCAGCTTATTTTTTGATTTATTGTAGAGACAAGGTCTCACCAAGTTGCCCAGACTAGTCTTGAACCCCTGAGCTCAGGCAATCATCCCACCTCTGCCTCTCAAAGTGTTGGGATTACAGGTTTGAGTCACCATGCCTGGCCACAGAATTTGCATTTTAACAAGATGCCCAGGTGATCCATGCATGCATGAAAGTTTGAGACACCAGATGTGGTAGCTCATGCCTTTAATCCCAGTGCTTTGGGAGATTGAGGCAGGAGGATTGCTTGAGGCCAGGAGTCTAAGACTAGCCTGGGCAGCATAGTGAGAGCCCCCCCCATCTCTACAAAAAAAGTTTTTTTGTTTGTTTGTTTGTTTTAATTAGGTGGGCATGGTGGCATGCACCTGTAGTCCCAGCTACTTGGGAGGCTGAGGCTGGAGGATCTCTTGAGCCCAGGAGTTTGAGGCTACATTGAGCCACAGTCATGACACTATGCTCCCGCTTGGGTGACAGAGCAAGATCCTGTCTCAAAAAAAAAAAAATAAAACTTAAGACGTACTGCTCTGAGGTCTGAGGCTCCTAACTCTGGCTCTGGGAGCAGCAGCTCCCAGTAAAATGCCTTTTCATATCACCACCAATGGGGCGGGTGGATGCCCAGGTGAAGGCCATCCTGCCCTCCTTGGAGACCCTTGGCTTAGCTGCCTAGTTGCCTTTCCAACTGTGGATACTTCCGGGGCCACACTTAGGGTGGGATGAGGGCAGAGTTCCCAGAACCTCCAGCATCATTGGAAGGCCCTAGAACTAGAACTAGAAGTACATTGTGTTCATCCTCAGTGGCAGCGGCGGGGGTGGGGTGGGCAGTTGGGGACACAGATACAGGTTCCCTGTCCCCAGGCTGTAGCCCCTCCCAACTCCCAGCAAGGCCTCGTCTTCAACCTGGACATGCTCATGGGCAGGAGTCCTAGGAGTCTGCAAGGAGCAGCCCCCAAGTTTCAGCTCACTGGTGCTTCAGCCAAGGTGTTGCAGAGTGGGTGGTTTGGGGTTCATCATAAAAGTTGCAGGAGCCAGGTTCAGTGGCTCAGCCTGTAATCCCGCGCCTTGGGAGGCTGGGTGAGTGGATTGCCTGAGCCCGCGGGTTTGAGACCGCCTGGGCAACTTGGCAAGACCTCATCTCTACAATAATCAAAAAATTAGCCGGGTGTGGTAGCACGCGCCTGTAGTTCCAGCTACTTGGAAGGCTGAGGCGGAGGGATCGCTGGAGCCCAGCAGGTCGAGGCTGCAGTGGCCGGGAGCGGCCACTGCACTCCAGTCTGGGTGACAGAGTGAGACTCCAACTCAAAAAAAAAAAAAAAAGAAGAAGTTGCAGGGAGTAGGGAGTGGGTGGATTTTTGTTGCAGAGTTTTAGAACAATGTTATTTCCATACAGGAAAGGAGGTGGCTGATAGATGGTACAGTGAAATCAAAAACTACAACTTCCAGCAGCCGGGCTTCACGTCGGGGACTGGTGAGTGACAGGGTCTTACCAGTGGCTTGGCCCTTGACAGTAGTCAGGTTGAGTGTCTGACTTTGGAGAGGAACTAACCCTCTGAGAATCAACCCTTTCCCTTCTGTTTAACCTCTTCCATATTCCTCAGGCTTGACTTTGCCCAGAGGGCAAAGCTCTTCTCTCCCCACACCTTCCCGTTGGAGGTCACCCCAGCTGCTGAATCCTGCCCCACCAGCTCAAAGCTCATCTCATTACTGGAGTGTGTCATGAAGAGACTGGATCTTAAAAGTTGCTTAGGCCGGACACGGTGGCTCATGCCTATAATCCTAGCACTTTGGGAGGCCGAGAGTATTGCCTGAGCCCACATGTCAAGACCAGCCTGGGCAACTTGGCGAGACCTCATCTCTATAATAAATCAAGAAAAATAACACAGCCGTGATAGCGCATGCCTGTAGTTCCAGCTACTTGGAAGACTGAGGCGGAAGGATTGCCTGAGTCCCGTAGGTTGAGGCTGCGGTGGCAGTGAGTGTGCAGGTCATCAGAGTGAGACTCTGACTCAAAAAAATAAAAAATAAAAGCGGCTCACGCTGTAATCCCAGCACTTGAGAAGCCGAGGTGGGCGGATCGCTTCAGCCCAAGAGTTGAAGACCAGTGTAGGCAACATAGCAATACCTCATCTCTACAAAAATTAAAAAATGAGCTGGGCATGGTGGTGCTTGCCTGTAGTCCCAGCTACTGGGGAGGATTTGGTGGAAGGGGCCTTTGAGCCCAGGAAGTTGAGGCTGCCATGAGAGGTGAACACACCACTGCAGCCTGGGCAACAGAGTAAGACTTCAACTCAAAAAAAAAAAAAAAAGTTGCTAAGAGCTTCATTCCTGAAGTGGTGCCTTAGTACCTTAGCTGGTCACCCTGCTTTTAGTCTTGCTCTTTCAACCCATCCTACTCTCCAGTGGCCTGAATACATCTAAAATCCTCTCTGCCTGTGGTGCTCTCCTGATTAAACTGCCATGACTCCACAAGGCCATCAGGAAAAGGTTCAAGGTGCTGGCACTCCCCGCTCCCTACCTCACATCCTTCTCCCCATCCCACTACCCCTTTTGCTCCCCACGCTCATTGTCTCCCTGGGTTCTCCCTTCCCCTTCCCCTTTATGCTCTAATTTGTGGTTCTGGGAGCTTGGGATGCAGAGAAGCTGGATCTAATCTCAGCTCTGGCACTGTTTGTTGTGTGAACTTGGGTCACTTCCTGGCCTTCCCTGTCCTCAAGGTGGTGGCCTCTAAGGGACAGTCAGAGCTGGTGATTTAGATGCAGGGAGGAGCCTTCCTTCTGTGGGGACCATCTGCCTTTCTCACAGGCCTCCTCCATAGCCAGCGGTAGCATTTAGCTGACTAAAGCCCAGGCAGCTGATCTGTGCCCTGGAAGGGGTCTTCTTTCCCCATCCCCGCCACCTGCCCCAGTCTACCCTCCCCCCTTTGCCTCACCAGGCTCTTCATCTTTCCTCAGAAACAACTCAGACTCCACTGGGGACCAGGATGCCATCAGAAGGGGTGTGAGTTTCTGTGACCAGAAGGCACCAGGAAAACTGACAAAAAGGATTCTCTGCCCACTCATTCCCCCCACCCCACCCTGTCCCACCCTCAGCCAGAGCCACCTGTGACCTTCCACCCTCTGGAGAGTTGCTTCAGAAGCAGGAAGTGATAGGTTCTCGGAGCTAGTCACCATTTCCTGTGGTTTGCTGCCCGCCCTTTTGTACAGGGGTTCCTGCAACAGTGTTCGCAGGACTCCGAGGCAGAGGTAGAAGCATCTGTGGAGGCATTTCTCCTCCCAGTTAACTGCTGCGAGACTCCAGGTGGGGAGCAGGAAGGGGCTGTCAGGGCCTTGAGAATTCGTGATTCTGAGGGGATGGGGAAGGGAGCAGTCACAGCCTCCTACCATTGATCAAGGATGTGGAGGCAGAACCTTGTCTTCTTTTCATTAAGATCAGTGTCCAGAAGATGTTTTTTTCATAGCTTCTGGATTTCCTTTTCCCATGAGCAAGATCTTCGAGCAATCAGACATGTGTCAGAGCAAATTATTAGCGCTATCCATGTGTCTTCACACCACTCTGTAATACAGAGTGCCTCCACATTCACTGCCACGTAAACCTCACAGCACCAATTGAAAGTAGGACTTGGCAGGGCGTGGAGGCTCATGCCTGTAATCCCAGCACTTTGGAAGGCCAAGGCCAGAGGATTGCTTGAACTCAGGAGTTCAAGACCAGCCTGGGCAACATAGCAAGTCCTGGTCTCTACAAAAAATAGAAGAGAGAGAGAAAGAGAGAGGGAAAAAGGAGAGGGAGAGAGAGAGGGAGGGAGGGAGGCGGAGAGAGAGAGAGAGAGAAAGCAGGGCTTTATTCTCATTGTGCAGAGGAGGAAACTGAGGCCTACAAAGGGAAGAGGCCTTTCTCGCACCTTCTGTCCCCAATCTGATGCTTTTTCCATGGTCCTTTTCCAAGACAGGAAAGAGTCAGAGCTGGGAATGAGGCTCAACTTTCCATGATCACTGACCACCTGTTTTATCCATTGCCCCACATGTCCCACTAAAGAGGGAAACCCCAGAGCAGCTAGGCCCTGTGCTGTCCCAGGTGCCAGTTGGTAGTGCCTGGACCCAGACAGAGTGTGAACCTAAGACAGGAATGAGGGTGGAGTGTTGTCATAATCAGGGTTTTAAGATCCTCAGGCCCACCCAGCCTCAGCCTCCCGCAGTCCTTGTCCACAGCTGCCTTCTTGCTCCATCATTGTCCATAGAGTCCCTGCTTGGGTCCATGTTGTAGGTGAAGAGCCTTTGAAATATCCTGTCATCTGTCCCCCTGCAGCCCCACCCTGGGCCGGCATCTTGTGATGAAGGGTGCTGGTCTCTGCTATGTGCTGAGAGGAGAGAAGTGATTTCTTAGAATTACTTTGACATATTCTGTTCAAATGAGTAGGTTTGTTTTGTTTATTTATTTATTCTTAATGAATAATATTTTTACTTGAGATGAACACTGCAAGCTGCATAAGATGAAAAGTTTTCCTTCCAGCCCTGACCCCCAGCACTTTCCTTCCCAGGAGACAACCAGAGATACCAGTTTTTTGTGTATCATTCTAGAGTTATCCCGAGTTTGGGCTAGCATTTGTATATTAATGCTGTTTTTCCCCTTGCTTATGCTTTGCCATTGGTGATCTGGCATTGGTCAAAGATTGCTCCATATCAGTACAAAAAGCGCTTACTCATTCTTTCTTACCACTGAACATTATTCCCTTGCAAGGATGTACTATAACTTATTTAGTGTGTTTTTCAAAGGTATATTCTAGAATGTCTGTGTTCATAGCAGGAAAGAGTATGCAATCCCTCTAAGAAAAAGAAAAAGGAAGTTTGGTTAGTAGATTAGAGTTGGAAGTCAGTGTGTATCTGCTGGTTGCTAAGGAAGTTGTGTCCTGTAATTAATCTCTAAATAATACCCAGAACTTCATTATCTGTGACCAGGCAGCAGCCTCCCCAGCGGGAGGAAAGATTGCTCAGCCTCATCTGTTTGGAAAAGGCTGTCACAGGCATTTCGTGTTGCTGATGTGCACTTTGTGTCTAATCATCGTCTCGGCAACCAGTGGATAACTGGCAGCTTCTTCCTTTTCTGGGAATCAGAGGGAGTAGGTGGGTCAATGGCTTCAGCCTGTGGTCTCTTGAGAAAGGAGGCTTGTGTGACAAAGGGCTTGAGCCTCCGGAGACAGGCTGTAGCCTGGAGCTGTGACTCAAACGTGTCAGAGCCAAGGGTGAAGAGGCAAGAAGTATATCTCCTCTACTCTGAGCGGAAACGGGTGTTTATTAAGCAGCAATTAAGTTTCAGGACAAGTGGTAAAGATGTATAATTGTATTTAGGATTTGTTTTCTTTTCATTCTTGCTTCAATGGTATCATATCAACCATATGAATTAGTGTTTATATTTGGTTATTTTCATAAAGCATTCAGTGACCTCAAATCCTTTGTGGATGTAGACAAAGAAATAAATTATATCAAAATTTAAAAATTATAAAAAGGAAGTTCAACTGTAGGGGGAAAAAATAGAATTTAGCCCATGAACATTTTTTTCTGTCCTTACCATGTACAGGATGCAAAAGGAAGTACCACTTCGTCTCTTCCCTAAAGAACCAGAAGAATGTAGAAACCAGTGTATGTCTCTCTCTCTTTCTCTCTCTCTTTTACATACATTTCAAAATTTACCATTTTAGCCATTTTAAGTATACAGAGTATTAAATACATCCACACTATTGTGCAGCCATCACTACCATCCATCTTCAGAACATTTTCATCTTCACATATTGAAATTCTATTCCCCTTAAACACTCCCTGAGCCGGGCTCGGTGGCTCAGCCTGTAATCCCGTGCCTTTGGGAGGCTGAGGTGAGTGGATTGCCTGAGCCCATGGGTTTGAGACCGGCTTGGGCAGCGAGACCTCATCTCTACAATAAATCAAAAAATCAGCCGGCAGTGGTAGCGTGCGCCTATAATTCCGGCTACTCGCAAGGCTGAGGCAGGAGGATCGCCGGAGCCCAGCAGGTCAAGGCTGTGGTGGCTGGAAGCGGCCACTGCACTCCAGTCTGGGTGACAGAGTGAGACTCCAATTCAAAAAAAAAAACAAACAAAAAAACACTTCCATCCCTCCTTCCCCACCAGCCCAGCCCCTGGTAACCACTGTTCTGCTTTTGAGTTTGACTACTCTAGGTACCTCATATGAATGGAATCATACAGTATTTCCATTTGTATCTGGCTTATTTCAGTTAGCGTAATGTTTTCAAGGCTTATCCATATGATCTCATGGATCACAATCCCCATTTAAAGCTGAATACTATTTTTTTTTTTTTAAGTTGGAGTCTCACTCCGTTGCCCAGACTGGAGTGCAGTGGCACGCTCCTGGCCACCACAGTCTCGACCTGCTGGTCTCGGGCGATCCTTCTGTCTCAGCCTTCCAAGTAGCTGGAACTACAGGCGCACACTACCATGCCCAGCTTATTTTTTGATTTATTGTAGAGATGAGGTCTCACCAAGTTGCCCGGGCTGGTCTCAAACCCCTGAGCTTAGGCAATCCTCTCACCTTGGCCTCTCAAAGTGCTGGGATTACAGGCTTGAGCCACCGTGCCCAGCCTTGAATACTATTGTATTGTGTATCACACACTGCATTTTGTTTATCCATTCATTTGTTGATGGACATTTGGGTTCTGTTACTTTGGACCAACTATTTAACTCTGTGCTGTGAACATGGCTGATAAATATCAGAACCTCAGCTGCTAGTACTTTTGAATATATACCTAGACGTGGAGTTACTGAATCACTTAGTAATTCTATGTTTAATTTTTTGAGGAATTACCACAGTTTTCTTTTTTGAGTCAAAGTCTTACTCTGTTGCCCAGGCCGGAGTGCAGTGGCACACTCACAGCTACCACAGCCTCAACCTGCTGGGCTCAGGTGATCCTTCCGCCTCAACCTTCCAAGGTGTTAGAACTAGAGGCATGTGCCACCACACCCAGCTGATTTTTTGTTTTATTGTAGAGATGAGGTCTTGCCGTGTTGCTCAGGCTGGTCTCAAATCCCTGAGGTCAGGCAATCCTCTCACCTCGGCCTCCCAAAGTTCTGGGATTACAGGCTTGAGCCACCGTGCCCAGCTTACCATACTGTTTTCCACAGCAGCTGCATGATGTTACATTCCCATCAGCAATGCACAAGAGTTCCAGTTTCTCCACATCCTTGCCATAACTTGTTATTTTCTATTGTTTCCTTTTTTTCTAATTTTAATATTAACCATCCTCATGGGTGCAAAGTGGTTGCCCTGTTTCTTTCTCCACTCTATAGGAAGCTTAGCTGCTCTGATCGTGATTTTCCTCCTTCTTCCCTCCCTCCATCTCCATCTTCTTCATTAAATATTTATTGAGCATTTATTATGTGCTAAGCCCAGTGCTAAACACTGGGGATATGGTTGTCAAGTAGCAGATGCAGTGCCTGCTCTCATGTAGTTTGCCCAATTGCAAGCCAGATATTTGGGAGGAAACAATCTCTCCAGGGTTGCTTTAGCAAAAACAACATCCTGTGAAGTGAAGGTAAATGCCCTTGGACTCTGTGAATGCCAAACCATAAAGGTGGAACCATAAAGGAGTAGAGGGCAGGTGGAAACTTGCCCTCTACTCCCAAGAGATGAGAAGAATTTATGGCTGTTGAGCAAAGAATATGACAACATCAACTCTTTAATCCCTCAGTGGAAGGAGATTTGGAAGCTAAGCTATTAGTAGCTTAAAATGACCAGTGAGAGAAGAGCAAGCAGCCTAAAAAACAGGAGGCTGGTGCTGAGAGGCTTCAGCAAGCCATAGAAGTATCTGGAGGATGCAGCAGTAACTTGAAAAGGAACTGGGCTGTTTGGCTCAGAGCAGGGAGGCACATATGAGGCGGTAACATGTCCAGGTCTCCAAGAGCTGAAAACATAGAAGTCCTACATTTCCTGTGAAGGCAGAGTCTGGGTCTACGATGGTTCTGCCACATGACTTGTATTCATTTCTTCCATGAATTCATTCAAAAGTTTATTTTACATGTTTCATATGCCACACTGTGCCAAGGCACTGAGTGTATTTTGATGAATAAACCAGACCTGGTCTCTCCTTATGTGGGTTCATAGCCTGGGGAAGGAACCAAACAAATATCAAGTAATCAAACAAATGTATCAACACAAGCAGCAAGAATGCTGTGATGGGAAGAAACGGTGTGGCAAGACTCTCAGGAGAGAGGTGTTCAGTAACTACAAGAGTGATTGCAAAAGGTTCTTTGAACAAGTGACGTTTAGGCCGAGTCCTAAGGGATAAGAAGCTATTGGTCCTCAAAAGAGTGTTCCACACACTGGCCAGTGTGTACAAGGGCTCTGTGGGGGGAAATGCCCTGGTGCATCCCAGGAACAAAGAGGGGGCCGCTGGACTGAGACATTCCCTTTCATTCTTTCAGGTGGAAGCAGGTAAAGACTTTTCAAGCAGGAAAGTAAACATATAGCATTTATGGCTCAAAATGATTACTCTGACTACTTAAATGGAAAATAAATTGAATGGACCAAGGTCAATACCGTAGAACCATCAGGAGTCTGTTGTAATAGTCCAAGTGAGCAAAGTTTGTGGTTGGGACAAAGGTTTTGGATTGGATGGGCTTGAGATGAACTTTAGAGTTGAATTCTTCAGATTTTTTTTTTTTTTTGAGTTGGGGTCTCACTCTGTCACCCAGGCTAGAGTGCAGTGGGTCAGTCACGGCTTACTGCACCCTTGACCTCCGGGGTTCAAGCGATCCTTCCACCTCAGCCTCCCAAGTAGCTGGAACTACAGGCAAGTACCACCATGCCTGGATAATTTTTAAAAATATTTTTGTAGAAATAAGGTCTTACTATGTTGCCCAGGCTGGTCTTGAACTCCTGGGCTCAAGCAATCCTCCCACCTTGGCTTCCCAAAGTGTTGGGATTGCAGGCGTGAGCCACTATGTCCTGCCGGATTCTTCAGGATTGAATGATGGGTTGCTGTGGGGAAAATGAGAGAGAAGGAAGAAGGCAGACTCACCCCTAGTACTGTGTGCATGGAGGTACTAATGATTGAAATGGGACGAAAGTTGAGAGTGATGTTTGCTAGGTTACATCTGAGATGCCTGTGAGTCATCCAAGTGGAAATGTCCAGGAAGTAGTTGTGTCTGGAACTCAGGGCAGAAATTTGACCTGGAGAAATACATTTCGGAGCCAGGGAAATATGACAGTGTCCAAAGAGAGTGTATAGAAAAAAGAAAAGAGAGCTCAAGATGGAGCCCCGGGAAATGCAGGTCCTTCAACCTTGACAAGTAAGGTAAAATAGGAAGAGGGAGGAGGCAGGGAGACAGAAGAGATGCCAAGAAACTGTGGCATCATGGAAGCCAAGGAAGGAAAGTGCTTTGAAAAGGGGAGGAATCGGCTGGGTACAGTGGCTCATGCCTATAATCCCAGCACTTTGGGAGGCCAAGGTAGGAAGATTGCCTGAGCCCAGGGGTTCAAGACCAACCTGGACAACTTGGTGAGACCTCATCTCTACAAGAAAAATTAGCTGGGTGTGGTTCCAGCTACTTGGAAGGCTGAGGCAGAAGGATCACCTGAGTCTAGCAGGTTGACTCAGAAAAAAAAAAGAAAGAAAGAAAAGAGGAGGAATCGGCTGTAGTAAATGTTCCCAGGGTGTCCAATGAGATGAAGACCAAAAGGGACCATTGATAGTAACACACAGATCATTGGGGACCTTGAAGAGTGCGGTTTGGAGGCAGGGCTGGAGCAGGTGAGAGACAGAATGACATCCTAATTGTTGGGGTCACTGGACTTTGGGACCCCTGGGAGGCCATTGGAAGTGGTGTGAGATGGGTAAGGTCTGTGGCTGATTGAAAGGATCTGCTTTAGAAGTCAGGCAGTCAGTGTGTTCTGTCTCTCCTTCCTCTGCTTAGGGTCTGGGAAGAGCCTGCAACATCCTTCTCTGGGCTCTACCAACTCCACTATTCCTTCTCCCTCTGTTTCCCTCCAGGACACTTCACAGCCATGGTGTGGAAGAATACAAAGAAGATGGGAGTGGGGAAGGCCTCTGCAAGTGACGGGTCCTCCTTTGTGGTGGCCAGATACTTCCCAGCAGGGAATGTTGTCAACCAGGGCTTCTTTGAAGAAAATGTCCTGCCTCCAAAGAAGTAACTTGTCTAATGTAATGGGAAGGGGGCACACTTAAGGACGTGGATGTGAAGTGCCCAGAACAACCAAAGTCCGGCCACATGCTTGTCCCTATGGGTGTATGTGCCTGTGTGTGTCAGACGTGTGAGCATTTCTGGTACTCACACTCGGACATACAGTTCTGCTCATTCTTATTTTCAAAATGAGCATCTGAAGCATTTATCCTGATAGTTACCTAGACCACAATTATTTGGATTCGGGGGGAGATCGGTTTTTTAAAATTTTTTTGTTATTTTTAAGCAGACTTCTTTTGTACCTTTCTTTATTCTAATATCCATCCCTGGACTTTTTGTATTCCTTATATTTGTGATGCTGAGAAGTGAAATTCGTTTTATGTGATCTTCATGCACTATAGCCTACTTTTGATAGATATTTAAGAGTATTCAACCTTCATTGAAATGTGGCATAGGCAGGGTGTGGTGGCTCACACCTATAATCCCAGCACTTTGGGAAACAGAGGGGAGAGGACTGCCTGACCCATGGATTCCAGACCAGCTTGGGCAACATAGTGAGACCTCATCTCTACAATAAATCAAAAAATTAGCTGGGCATGGTGGCATGCGCCTGTGGTTTCAGCCACTTGGAAGGATGAGGTAGAAGGATTGCCTAAGCACAGAAGGTTGAGGCTGCAGTAGCCGTGAACGTGCCGCTGCCCTCCAGCCTGGGCGACAGAGTGAGACTCCGACTAAAAAACAAAAATGTGGCATAAAATACATAAATTAAACGCTTCCATCAGAAACAGGGCAGGCAGGAGCTTCATTTTCCAGAGTTATTGAGATTTCTCAGTTGTAACACATGATGTCACCCTGCATGCCTCCTGGAATTCCCTAACGGAATTGCCAAAGAACAAATGGAGAGAAAAGCTTTACTTCCTTGCATTTTTCTACCTTTAAATAGCAAAGTACAGCTACCACCAACACCTCTTACTCCCTTCTCTTTTTTAAAAAACTCTTCTGGCATTTCAGAGTTCAGTATGCTACCCCTGATTCCTGGAAATCTGAGTGAGGCCTGAAACTCCCCTCCCCCTGCTCTGCTAGGTGGCTGGGCCTGGTCTGGGAGAGAGCCCCTCACACTTGCCTGGGCTCATGGCCAAGGGCCTGGGATGAAGTCAGTGAGTGGGGGTGAGGATGAGCTCACTCAGGGCCCCTAGAGGAAGCCCTCCAGCCTCTGCCCTCCCCCGACACAGGGTGGAAGCCCAGGCCTGTTCCTGGCAGCTGTGGCTGCAGCTGTGCTCCTGGAATGTGTGACAAGCCCAAATGTTCCAGGAGATGTCCCATACCGGGGGCTTAGAAACGCTTATTTGGTTCTGTGTTTTCCCTGAAACTGTATGAGGTTCCCCTGAATAGCAACTTTACAAGGTCCTTATGGGAGGGACCAACCCAGATGCCAAACTCAGTGTCCCCAAAACCATGGCAGCTCCATCTGTCAGGAGAGCAGGGGTGGGAGAGGGGGCTGCCGGCTTCACGAAGCAGCTTCCTGAACGTCTGTGTTGCACTGCGAACAGTCTCACACTGTGTCCCTCATCTCACCCAGGGATATTGACTAATAGAATAGTAAGATCTTTTTCTTTGTGTGTATCTTCCTCTAGTGTGATTCATACCCAATTCTTAGTTGGTGGCTGAGACAATCTGAGACTGAATCCCTGTCTTGGGCAGCTCAAGCCCCACAATACCTCCAACTGTGATCTGTGCTGCTTAAGCCACCAACTTTGGAACTGTGTTACCCAGCGGCACACAACTGATTGGACTAGAAGGGACACCAGGTCTAATGGCAGCCAATCCCCAGGCTGGCCATGGGCTGGGAATTTGAGCTAAGAAATGTGGAGAGAATTTACCAATAAAACTGAAAAAAATAAGGAAGCCATGAATTCAAATCAGGGCCATAGCAAACCAAAGTTATCTGCAAACCAGGTTATGATTAGGAAACTCACAGAAGTGAGAAAGCCAGCCAAATCTGTATGTTTTTAAATTTTTATTTATTTTAGTTGAGGTCTCACTCTGTCACGCAACCTCGACCCACTGGGCTCAAGCCATCCTTCTGCCTCAGCTTTCCAAGTAGCTGGAATTACAGTCATGCACTACCATGCCCAGCTAAGTTTTGTATTTATTATAGAGACGAGGTCTCACCAAGTTACCCAGGCTGGCCTCGAACCTGTGAGCTCAGGCAATTCGCTTTTTTCTGTTTCTTTCTTTTTTCTTTTCTTTTTTTTTAGAGGCAAGGTCTCACTATGTTGCCTAGGCTGGTCTCGAACTCCTGGGCTCAAGCGATCCTCACATTTGGGCCTCCCAGGTGCTGGGATTAAAGGCATGAACCACCACTCTTGACCCAAATCTGTGTATCTTTAAAACATGCCTCTTAGCCGGGCTCAGTGGCTCAGCCTATAATCCCGTGCCTTTGGGAGGCTGAGGTGAGTGGATTGCCTGAGCCTGCCGGTTCAAGACCTGCCTGGGCAGCGAGACCTCATCTCTACAATAAATCAAAAAATTAGCCGGGCGTGGTAGTGCGCGCCAGTAGTTCCGGCTACTTGGAAGGCTGAGGCGGAAGAATCACCTGAGCCCAGCAGGTCAAGGCTGCGGTGGCCGGGAGCAGCCACTGCACTCCAGTCTGGGTGACAGAGTAAGACTCCAACTCAAAAAAAATAAAAATAAAAATAAAAACCTCGCAAGCATTTAAAAAAAAAAACATGCTTCTTATTTTCTCCAGGGCTTCCCGGCAAACTGATAAATCAACTGATGGTCCTGTAGATTAGACTATTACCATCTCCCTTGCAGGGAGTCACCGTGAACAGAAAATGCTGAACCTGGCAGGAAGCCGAGGATGCGTGCAATGTAGAGACCTGGCTGAGGTCCTTTTGTGGCCAGACTTGGCAAGCTGCCAGCTCCTGAACGTCCTGGTGGTGCCTAGGATCACCCCCAACCCCCAATACACACACAGACATAACCAGGTGGTGGAAGCTGGCATGCAGCCAGCCTCTGCAGGCTGGAGTTTGTTTCCACAGTTGGCTGGATTAAAGAAAAGGCCGAACCAGGGGAGTTTTCCAGGGCTGAAGAAAGCCAGACAGCAAAACTGGCTGAACAGGTGGGCACTAATCTCTCTTCTTTAGTGGATTTCTGGAAGACAGCAAACCCCACAATCCAGCAAGGGCAGAGGACAATCCAAATTGCTGCTTTCCGAAGCCAGAGGGCAAAGGAAGGAGACAGCTCTGGGCCTGACCCACCCACCCACCCTGCTCCTGGGTGGAGATGCACCAGGAGGCAAAGTCTGCCAGCTTAGATACCCATGGAAGCGAGAAGGTGTCTGGCATCAGCACCAACAGGCCTTATCCCTCACCCGAGTCACTGCTGCTTCTCATGGCAGAGCTGGAGAGGCATTTGGAGCTTAATTATTCTCACAGGGAGCAGCCGTCAGGAAGGGCCTCCCTAGGCAGCACAGCTGGTCTCTGGTGGAAGGGGCTGAGATCTAAGCCTTCGTCCTGTAGGGAAAAATCAGACGTTTTAGCCTTGTGCAGACACTGTCCCAAGAGACTGTGTCTCTCTATCCCATTCAGGCATCAGGGTGAACAAATTCCGTTTTACAGGGAATTTTCAAATATTTTTCAAATTACCAAATCCCAAAAAAAAGGAAAAGGCTAAGTCTGGAATGCAAGATGAGGGAGGGAGACAATGAGAATGAGAACATGACTAAGCCAGGGAGGCAGAGGGCTGGAGCGGCTCATATTCCAAGGCTGACACCGAGTTTTCCGGGAGGGGCGGGCCCAAGGGTCTGCGGTGGGGCTTGGGCCCCAGATTGGAGGAGATCAGGGGCAGGGTCTCCCCGCACCTTCTCGCCACTGCCTGGGCGAGATGCAAGTCTGGATGCCGACGCCCTTCCCGGGAGCCCCCACGGGCTGGTCTGGGTGGGAGCCCTGGACTCTCCAGCTCCCCCTGCGGAGGCTCCGGCTGACCCTTACCCTCCTCCTTGCACAAGCAGCAGCCCCACCCCCGGGAGCCCCAGGCCGGCAGGACCCAGAGCCGGGTCTACCGACACCGCCCCCGGCGGGACCCCGAGGGCTCAGGAACCTCCGGAGCTGATGCCCTCAGTGGCGGAGCTGCGCCTCTCCGGCCGGTGCGCGCCCGCGCCGGGGCTCAGCACCCCCATCTGTCAAGCGGGGACAAATGTGTGTTTGCCGGGCTCTAAGGAGGCCCCCTAGTTCCAAAGGCCTGCCAGGCTGGGAGCCCCCGATCCTGTCTTTTGAATGGCAGGGTCCCAGCAGACGGGCCCTCTGGCGCCACCGTGTGGCCGAAGTGGGCTCAGGAGGCCGCGCGAGGAACCCCACAACCTCCCAGCCACCAAGAAACCAGAACCGCCACGAGAGAGCCGGCGCTGGGCCAGTTGGTGTCTTATGAATAAGAAAACTGCAGCTAGCTCTTATTGGATATTTGCTCCAAAACAAAACTGTGCTGACCCCTTCTAGTTCTTTTCTCATTTAAACTCGTAATAATCTTTGAAGCAGGTACTATCTCCATCTCATACATGAGGAAACTGAGGTTTAAAGAGTCTGAGCAAACTGTCCAAGTCTATCCTTGATGGAGAGAGCTGACCCACCAAAGTTCGCCACATTTTACAACTGGCACTTGGTAATGTGGAGGGACCATTCTAGTTTGCTATGGAGCTGAAATAATCGGAGCTTTAAAGGCCCTCCAGTTCCCTGGCATGCAGTTAACTCCTGCATCTCTGCTCCAGTGAGGGCCTCCACCCCTCTATTTTTTTTTTTTTTTTTTGGTCGGAGTCTCACTCTGTCACCCAGGCTGGAGTGCAGTGGCACACTCATGGCCACCGCAACCTTGACCTGCTGGGCTCAGGCAATCCTTCGGCCTCAGACTTCCAAGTAGCTGGAACTACAGGCACGCGTCACCACACCCAGCTAATTTTTTGATTTATTGTAGAGATGAGGTCTCCCCAAGTTGCCCAGACTGGTCTCAAACCCGTGGGCTCAGACAATCCTCTCACCTCTGCCTCCCAAAGTACTGGGATTATAGACGTGAGCCACTGCACCCAGCCCTCCCCTCTATTTTGAAGGAGAACGGCATCTGTGGCCACGATGGTCAGAAGGCAAAGGACAGAGCTTTTCTTCTCTGGTGTCTAGGATCCTTGGCAGAGAAAGGAATCTCCGGGCCTGAGAACCAGAGACTGGGGAAAGCCAAGTGGTGAGGAGCTTCCTGGGAGGGTGGAAAGAGGACTGGTTACAGACACTTGGGTTTTGGGCCCTGCCCAGTTTCCAACTGGCTACGTGATCTTGGACAAGTCCTTCTCTTCTCTGGGCTTCAGTTTCCCTCCTGTGGGAGGGAAATGGGAGGATTCTTCTAGATGGTCTGATAATCCCTTCCCTTCCCCCATTTGCCTTTATCTCCTCCACACAAACTGCTCTCTGCTGCCCCTCCCAAATTGGCGCTGGCATTCCAGAAGAAGCCTTGACCTGAGTTTTGAAAGTCCCAGGCGGGAGTTGCTGCCCATCCCTAAGTTTCACCCTTAGTTCTGGGTTCTGGGCTTTAGATCCGTAGGATATGTGGGCCTGACAGTTGGAGCAGTCACAGAGGAGGAAGGCCCAGTGCCTCTGAGACAGGCTTCAGGGGGCCCTGCATTGTGATGACCTCACCTGCTCTATGACATCATCCTCTCTCCCAACCCCACTTCTCCTTGGTCAACTGCTCTGCAAACAACCATCAATCTGAATCCCAAAGGCCTGAGAGAGCTAACCTCCAGTACCTTCTGCTGATCTCCTGCCTCAGCCAGCAAGAAGCACCATGAAACTGGAATTCACTGAGAAAAACTACAACAGCTTCATGCTGCAGAACCTGAACAAACAGAGGAAGCGTAAAGAGTACTGGGACATGGCCCTGACTGTGGACCACCACGTCTTCTTTGCACATCGCAACGTGCTGGCTGCCATCTCCCCGCTGGTGAAGAGTCTCATCTCCAGCAATGACATGAAGACCACCGATGAGCTCTTTATCACCATCGACCCCAACTACCTGAGCCCACTCACGGTGGACCAGCTCCTGGACTACTTCTACAGCGGCAAGGTGGTGATCTCCGAGCAGAATGTGGAGGAGCTGCTTCGTGGGGCCCAGTATTTCAACACGCCACGCCTTCGAATCCACTGCAACGACTTCCTGATTAAGTCCATCCGCCGTGCCAACTGCCTGCGCTACCTCTTCTTGGCCGAGCTGTTTGAGCTCAAAGAGGTGTCAGACTTGGCCTACTCTGGCATTCGTGACAACTTCCACTACTGGGCCAGCCCGGAGGGCTCCATGCATTTCATGCACTGCCCACCCATCATCTTCGGCCGCCTGCTCCGTGATGAAAACCTTCACGTGCTCAATGAAGATCAGGCTCTCAGCGCCCTCATCAACTGGGTGTACTTCCGGAAGGACGAGCGGGAGAAGTATTTCAAGAAGTTCTTCAGTTACATCAATCTCAATGCCGTCTCCAACAAGACATTGATGTTTGCGAGCAACAAGCTGATGGGCATGGAGAACAGCTTAACCCATGCGACCCTGATTGAGAGTGTCCTGATGGACCGGAAGCAGGAGCGGCCATGTAGTCTGCTGAGCTACCAGCGGAAAGGGGCCCTGCTGGATTCAGTGGTCATCCTTGGTGGCCAGAAGGCCCAAGGCAAGTTCAACGATGGAGTGTTTGCCTATATCATCCAGGAGAACCTGTGGTTGAAACTCTCAGAGATGCCCTATCGGGCAGCAGCCCTTAGTGCCACCTCTGCGGGTCGCTATATCTACATATCTGGTGGCACCACGGAGCAGATTTCAGGGCTGAAGACAGCCTGGCGGTATGACATGGATGAAAACTCCTGGACCAAGTTGCCTGACCTGCCCATCGGGCTTGTCTTCCACACCATGGTGACCTGCGGAGGGACAGTGTACTCAGTGGGTGGGAGCATTGCCCCCAGACGCTATGTCTCTAACATCTACCGCTATGACGAGCGTAAGGAGATCTGGTGCCTGGCAGGGAAGATGAGCATCCCCATGGATGGCACAGCCGTGATCACCAGGGGCGACCGGCACCTGTACATTGTCACTGGGCGGTGCTTGGTGAAAGGTTACATCTCCCGGGTCGGGGTGGTGGACTGCTTTGACACCATCACCGGAGATGTGGTCCAGTGTATCACCTTCCCCATTGAGTTCAACCACCGGCCCCTGCTCTCTTTCGGTCAGGAAAACATCCTCTGCGTGCACAGCCACCGGCAGAGTGTGGAAATCAATCTGCAGAAAATAAAAGCCAACAAGACGGCCACTTCCGTGCCTCTTTTGCCCAACAACTGCCCCTTGGATGTGTCCCATGCCATATGCTCCATTGGAGACAGCAAAGTGTTTGTCTGTGGGGGCGTCACCACAGCCAGCGATGTCCAGACAAAGGACTACACCATCAATCCTAATGCCTACTTGCTGGACCAAAAGATAGGCGAGTGGAAGACCCTGGCCCCGCCGCCAGAGGCCCTGGACTGTCCTGCCTGCTGTCTAGCCAAGCTACCTTGCAAGATTCTTCAAAGGATTTGAACAACTTTATAAGCGGGAGAATACGTAAATGCATTATTATTCACAATTTAACGAGAGAGAGAGAGAAAAAGGAAGATGGCCTGTTGGTTCCTTCTTGGTGTTCCTGTCTGTGCTTGGCCCTGAAGGTGGAGAGCCTGGGTTAGAGCTGCTCCCAGTGGGTGGACGTTCGGGGCTACTGTGTCACGGGAGGTATGCAACAGAGGCTAGAAAGGAGCCCCTGACAGGTGGGACTGAGGCATCACCTGGGCACTGGCACCCAGTGGGGCGGATGTTCAGGGCTGCTGGGTCACTGGTGGGATCTAAGCCCAGGCTGGAAAGGAGCTCCTGGTGGGTGGGACTGAAGCCCCTCCCTGGCACTGGCCAAGGTGATGTCTGGAAAGTCCCCTGCTCTTTTATTTTTCTTCTTTTTTTTCCTTTTTTGTTCTTCTTTCCTCCTTGTATTCCTTTTTTGTTTTCTTTCCTTCCTCCTCCCTTTTTTTGGGTCTTTTCCCTTTTCTTTTTCCTTTTTTGACCATGTCAAACAGTGATGTGTTGGTATAACAAGGTTTGCAGATGGGGCATCTCACACATATTCGTGACAACCCAACCATCACACTAAGAGCTACAGAAGATCGAAAGCCCCTATTCTGCCAGAATCACAGGTAAACATATGCTCAGAGTTGTGGAGCCTTGGGCTCCTCCAACACCCACTTCCCTCAAGTCTTCCAGGACGGCAGGGGAGGATCCATCCCAGGTTAGGGGGAGAGCCTCATGGCAAGGAAGAAGAAAGTGGGCTGGGTAAGGGTCAGGGGAGGGGGAAGGGATACTTGGCTACTGTATTGGCCCGTGCAGCTACAATAGTTTGTGTCTCATTTGTGGGGAAGCTGGGGGCTCCTTACATTGCCCCTAGCAAGTGAAATTCATTGAGAACTTTCCAGAAATAAGAGATCTGAGGAACTGAAGGACGAAGAGAGGTCAGTAAAGGGGAAAAAAAGAAACCTATGTCCCTAGTGGAGAGAAGCTTGAGGATGAGAAGAAATGGCCGGATAAAGAGAGACAGGATGGTAGAAGAGTTAGGGGTATGAACTCTGGGGCCAGCTGGCCTGGTTCAAACACCAATTCCAACCCTCATCCCTTACTGGGTGATCCTGGGCAAATTACTTAACATTTCTGAGACTTAGTTTTCTCATCTATAAAAGAAAGATGATAAGAAAGCCTACCTTATAGGGTGGATTCAAAGTTTAAGTGACTTGACACAGGTAAAATGACTAGGACAGTCCCTGCTTATATTAAAGTGTTAAAGAAGCACTTTTTTAAAAAGAAAAAAAGAAGGGCCAAGTGGGGTCCAGATTCTTGGGTGTGTGCACACACGTGTGTGTGTGTGTGTGTGTGTGTGTGTGTGTGTGTGTGTATGTGTGTGTGTTTGAGTAGGGTCTCACTCTGTGACCCAGGCTGGAATGCAATGGCACAATCACGGCTCACTATCACCTCCACCTCCTGGGCTTGGGCCATCCTTCCATCTCAGCATCCTGAGTAGCTGGGACTATAGGAACGTGCCACCAAGCCTGGCACATTTTTAAAATTTTTTGTAGAGACGAAGTCTCGCTATGTTCCCAGGCTGGTCTCTAACTCCTGAGCTCAAGCAGTTCTCCTGCTTTGGCCTCCCAGAGTGCTGGGATTACAGGCGTGAGCCACAGTGCCCAGCCTCTGACTCCTCTTCTTTTTCCCACTCCATCCTGCTCAACCGAGCCACTTCACCTTCCTGATCTCTCTGTTGGTGGCCTCTCTCTTCAAGCCTAGGCTTCTACGAAGTCTTTCCTCCTTCCAGCCAGGAAGTCACAGCCACTCCTCTCTCCTGGGACTTCTTTCACTTTCTGTACTTCTCTCCAACCCCGAGCAGCCCCCACTTCTGCTCACCACCACTTCTCCCCCCACCAGCTGAAAGAATGAGTCACCTCTTACCATCTCCCTACCCCACCCCTCACAATAGGCCCTCCAACCCTCTGTATTGACAGGGGTCTTCGCCTTTCCCGTCTTCCTGTCCTGGGCTCTCATTCTGCCACTAGGTCTTCAGAGAACTAGAAGTCATGTGACCTGAGTTCCATGAACAATCTCATGTGTGCCAAAATGGATTTGACCAGAGCTTCTGATTTTCTTTACTTTAAAGGAAGAAGTGACTGGGCACAGTAGTTCAAGCCTGTAATCCCAGCACTTTGAGAGGCCAAGGCAAGAGGATTGCCTAAGACCAGGAGTTTGAGACCAGCCTGGACAATTTGGTGAGACCTTGTCTCTACAATAAATCTAAAAATTAACTGGGCATGGTGGCACATGCCTGTCATTCCAGTTACTTGGAAGGCTGAGGCAGAAGGATTTCTGAGTTCAGCAGGTCGAGGCTGTGGTGGTCGTGAGCGTGCCACTGCACTCCAGTCTGACGACAGAGGGAGACTCCAACTCAAAAAAAAAAAAGGAAATGTCCTTCCATGGTTCAAAGCTGATCCCTCCATCTGTCCCTCAATTCAGTCGCCTCACAACTTCTCAGACTCTCACGTCCCCCTTTCTCCACATCCCCCTCCTAATCTCTTCATTCCATAAATAGTCTCGAATTTCTCCTGAAAACAAGCCCTCCTCAGTTCTGAGGTCCTCTCTTGCCATCTGCCATCTTCCTCTTCAGTCGAGCTTCCTGAATATTGTCTGTGCTCCAGCTCTCACTTCCAAATCAATCTCCAGCCCACTCAGTCTGACTTCTGTTCCCACCATGCCACCAAACTATGTCTTGACTATATTGAGCTCTTTGTCATTTTCTCAATCATATTTCTTTTCTTGTAGTACTAGATAATATCAACGACTCCCATCTACAACAGAATCACTGGGGTGCTTACTAAAATGGGAGCCCTTTGGCATGGCATTGTGGGATTATAGTTTGATATATAGACCAAAATGGTCCGCCCTTCCCTCCTCCCTCTCTCCCTCCCCTCCCTTCCTCCCTTCCCGCATTAAAATTTGGTTAAAGCAGTCAAGGCTTATCACCTTTTCAAGACAATACGCTGAATGTAGGAATCAGAGTCAAATTCTTGACTTTTGCAATAGGGAAGCTTTGGCATGACAGAAATAATGATCTTGAAGGATAAGGCCTTTGAATTACAATCCAGGTCTTCAAATTGCGTTTCCAAGGGAAATTTAGACCTGCATTATTTTTATGGGAATCAGTTTCAAGATTATCAACTTCTTTCCTAAAAGTGATCTACTGAGAATATACTTGTGGTAGAGCTTTTATTCTAGTTTTTTCCTACCTCCTATTTCAAAATTATCCTTCTCCCAGTTTACACACACACACACACACACACACACACAGAAGAGAAAGAGAGAGAGAGAGAGAAAGAGAGAGAGATTTACCCTTTCCAAATATTTCCAGGATGCATTGCCCCAGGATGCCCTTAAAAACTGGCGCCAGTGAAGCCTCCTTTCATCAAGACACCAGTACCCAAAGAAGAGTTTCCTATCTTTTTCTGTCCTACTCGTACAGTGTATCTGTAAGGTATGAAGCCTGGTGATAAAAGCAGGTATTTTGGCTGGGCACAGTGGTTCACACCTATAATCCCAGCACTTTGGGAGGCCAAGATGAGAGGATTGCCTGAGTACACGGGTTCAAGACAACTGGGCAACTTGGCAAGACCTCATCTCTACAATACATCAAAAAATTAGCTGGGCATGGTGGCACATGCCTGTAGTTCCGGCTACTTGGAAGACTGAGGTGAAAGGAGAGCCTGAGCCCAGTAGGTCAAGGCTGCAGTGGCTGTGAGTGTGCCACTGCACTCCAGCCTGGGTGACAGAGGAGACTCCAACTCAAAAAAAATAAAATAAGCCAGGCTCGGTGGCTCAGCCTGTAATCCCGTGCCTTTGGGAGGCTGAGGTGAGTGGATTGCCTGAGCCCGCAGGTTCGAGACCTGCCTGGGCAGAGATACCTCAGCTCTACAATAAATCAAAAAATCAGCCGGGTGTGGTAGCGCTTACCTGTAATTCCGGCTACTCAGAAGGCTGAGGCGGAAGGATCGCCGGAGCCCAGCAGGTCAAGGCTGCAGTGGCCGGGAGCAGCCACTGTACTCCAGTCTGGGCGACAGAGTGAGACTCCAACTCAAAATAAATAAATAAATAAATAAATAAATAAAAATAAAAATAAAAATAAACAAGTATTTTATGCTGGGTGCAGTAGCCCACTGTGGCCTATAGCCCCATTGCTTTGGGAGATCGAGGCAGTAGAGTGACTTGAGCTCGGGAGTTCGAGACCAGCCCAAGCAACATAGCAAGACCCCTATCGCTACATAAAAATTTAAAAATTAGCCAGGTGTGGTGGCACGTGCCTGTAGTCCCAGTACTGGGGAGGCTGAGGCGGGAAGGACTGCTTGAGCCCAAGAGTTCAAGGATGCAGGGAGCTATGATCACACCACTCTACCCCAGCCTGGAAGACAGAGCAAAACCTTGTCTCTAAAAATAAAAAAAATTTTAAACTGAGGTATTTTGGTCCAAATTGGGTTGTTCAGAAATGCAAAATTGTACAATGAAATGATAATATATTTTTTAAAGCCTTATAGAGATATAACTCACATATCATAGAATTCACTCATTTAAAGAATATAACTCATTTAAAGAATATAACTCAGTGGCTTTTAGCATGTTCACAGGGCTATGCAATCATTACCACAGTCAATTTTAGAACATATTAGCCAGGTGTGGTGGCATGGGTGCCTAATCTCAGCTACTTGGGAGTCTGAGACAGGAGGATCACTTGAGCCCAGGAATTAGAAACTAGTCTGAGCAACATGGCAAGACCCCATCTGTAAAAAAATAAAATCAAAGACTGGCCTTGGTGGCTCAGCCTGTTTCCCAGCACTTTGGGAGGCCAAGGCGAGTGAATTGCCTGAGCCTGCAGGTTCGAGACCCACCGGGGCAACTTGGCGAGACTTCGTCTCTACAATAAATCAAAAATTAGCCGGGCATGATAGCGTGCTTTTATAGTTCTGGCTACTTGGAAGGTGGAAGGATCGCCTGAGCCCTGCAGGTCGAGGCTGCGGTGGCCGGGAACGTGCCA